GCCAGCGGATGGGCGAATCCCCGGTTTTGGCTGCCACGGCATCCACTTCAGAACAATCTCCGACTTGCCGTTCAAAATCCGAGACGCTTGGTCGCGAGGCACTGGCGTCTTGCGGGCTGATCGGTGATCAGCCGACCAGAATTCCGAACTCCGCAAACCCCTACTGCGCCATCTACCGAGTCCGCCTTTCAGGTGCAGGGATTCCAGAAATCGCCCGGCTACTACATCAGTCAATAGTCGGTTAAACCTTTCGAATTCGCTGTCCGGCATTTCATCGCACGCATCGCAACCGCAGGATGGAAACCAGTCAGTGGTCCACCTGCCGAACCGGACCCCCAGGCCAGGGAAATCGGTGAAAGCAATGGCGATCGGCGCACAGGAGTCCTGGAGTGGCGTCAACTCTAGTATTGGCCTGGACAACGAGACGCGGTCCAACTCGGCGTCTATGATCGTGCCTTCATCCCGGTTGACCTCATAATCCCTATGCAGTCGCGCCAAGGCCTCGAGGGTCCAGTCGTGCAACGGCCTGAATCGTTCCGGCTCTGTTACACGCGAATAGGCATCCTCAGGCGGCCCCTCGGTGCCCCAATTGAACCTTCCCACTGTAGTTTCCCCTGACTGTAGTTTCCCCCGAATGCTTCCGTTTCGCTTGTCACAATTCTACAGCCGACACCCAGAGAAGTTGAACTTTCAACCGCTCGCGTGTGTCGGATTCAGCTTTACCGCAGTTGCTGCCAGGCCATCGGGCGACAGCAGGACATCAAGATGCTCAAGGCTGTCTGAACCCTGTCGGGGAATATGGGCTGCCGCAGTGCCAGACGAGAGCGCAACACATCAAGGCCAAAGAGAGAGGAGTTGGAAGGGAGGGGTCCATCAGGTTCCATCAAGTACGAAGGATGGTTTTCAGACCCTCGGGCATGGCGCGGTCAGCGGCCCCTGTCCAGATGGCCAGTACGGCCAGTGTGAGGACGTAGGGCAGCATATCCAGAAGGAAGGGCGAGACCGGAGCGCCCAGCGCCTGGAGCTGCAATTGCAGGCCCACGGCCCCACCGAACAGGAAGGCCCCCACCATCCCCCGCATGGGCGACCACAGGCCGAATATGACGAGGGCCACGGCGATGAAACCGCGGCCGGCGGTCATGCCCTCCGACCAAGTGTGTGTCAGGGCCACCGATAACTGCGCCCCACCGAGACCAGCCAGGGCGCCGCCAAGAACGACAGCGGTGAACTGCAGAACAGCAGGGTTGCGCCCAGCGGCGAAGGCCACCGCCGCGTTCTCTCCGACGGCCCGCAGACTCAGCCCCCAGCGGGTGTATTGTAGGACAAACCAAATCAGTGGCCCGAGGCCATAAGCGATGTAGGCCAGGATGTCCTGCCGGAACAGAGCCTCGCCCAGCACCGGGATGTCGGCGAGACCCGGGATGGCGATGGGATTCAGGCCGTCGATGATGTTGGCTACGTAATCGCGGCCAACGTAAGCGGTTATTCCTCCGGCGAAGAGGGTCAGGGCCAGGCCGGTGGCCAGCTGGTTGGTGTCGCGGTAAATGATGAGGTAGGCGTGTATTGACGCGGCCAGTGCCCCAGCCGCCATACCAGCCAGGACGCCAATACCAGCAGACCCCGTCTCAACGGTGGCGAGGAAACCAAAACAGGCGCCGACAAGCAGGCAGCCTTCCATGCCCAGGTTGATGCGGCCGGCGCGCTCAGTGATCAACTCGCCATAAACGGCGTACAACACCGAGATGCCGGGGCCCACCGCCCCTGTAAGGGTGCCGCTTATGACCAGCCAGAAAGTGGTCACAGCGCCCGCCTCTCGACCTTCCGGAGACCCAGTACGAAGAACAGCGCCAGCCCAATGAGCACGAGTCCTGCCGCGGAGGGCAGACCGACAGTGAGCTGCAGCACGTCGCCCGCAACCAGGAAGACGGCGATCATGAAGCAGGCGCCAACGATGGCCACCGGGTTGTGTCCGGCTAGCCAGCTGGCAAGCAGTCCCAGGTAGCCTAGGTTTATTGGAGATGCCGGGGCGAAGGTCGTGGTGAATGCCGGAAACCTCGACCATGCCCGCCAATCCTGCCAGGGCTCCTCCGGCGACCATCGCCGCGATCATGTACCGGTCTACCGCGATGCCGCGTCGCCGGGCCGCCTCGGGATTGCCGCCCACGGCGCGCATCTTGAACCCCCAGATTGTGCGGCTCAGGATTACATAAGTGACAACCAGGGCGATCAGCGGCGCCAATAATCCCCAGTGAAACCGCGTTCCGGCAATGGCCGGAAAGATGGCGGCCACATCGAAGGGGGTCGTATACGGGTAACCCAGGCCCTCCGGGTTTTTCCACGGGCCGAAAACGAACAGGTCCACAACCAGGATGGCGATGTAGTTGGCCAGGAGGGTGGATATGACCTCGTTGACGCCCCGCCAGTGCCTCAGCAGGGCCGCGGCAGCCGCCCAGAGTCCGCCGCCCGCGCATCCTGCGAGGGCCATTACGGGCAGCATCAGCCAGGTCTGACCCACGGGGAAGAAGAGGGCAACCCCGGTTGCCGTCAGAGCTCCGATGTACAGCTGCCCCTCGCCACCTACGTTGACCAGGCCCACGCGGGTGGGTATAGCCGTGGCCAAGGCCGCGAGGAGGAGGGGAATCATGGTCCCGACCTCGCTGAGGCCGAGGGAGCTGCCGAAGACCCCGTCGGCGGCCCTTATCAAAGCCTCCCCAGGGTCCCGGCCCGAGGCCAGCAGGAACGCGGCGAATACGACGAGGGCCAGCACGATGCCAAGCACCGGGCGGGGCGCCGACATCCAAGCCTGGACCAGTGCGGGATGCCTCAGGGACAGAGTGCCGGCGCGGATGTACGGAGGCAGGTTCATCCAGTCTCCGCAGCAAGGGCGTGGCCAGTCATCAGCAGACCGATCTCCTGCACTGACACCCCGGACGGAACGAACTCGCCGGCCACGCGACCGTGGTACATCACGATGAGGCGGTCGCTGAGGGCCAGCAGCTCATCCAGGTCTTCGGATACCAGCACGGTGGCGGCTCCGGCGTCGCGCCGTTCCAGCAGCAGGCGGCGCGTGGACTCGGCGCTCAGCACGTCGAGGCCCCGCGTCGGGTAATAGGCCAGGAAAACACGGGCGCCCTGCCCCAGCTCGCCAGCGAGCATCACCCGCTGGACGTTGCCACCGGAGAGATGCCGCACCTGGGCCGAGGAGTCAGCCATCTGCAGCGGGAATGCGGCGCGAACCTGCCCGGCTTCACCGGCGATGCTGGCGCGGTCCAGCCAGAACCCGCCGCCCCGCCCCCGCGACAGGCCGGACAGGAGCAGGTTCTCGTCGACCCGCATGCCGGCGATCATGGCGTCGGCGAGGGGGTCCTCCGAGATGACGGACACGCCGCTGGCAAGGGCGTAGGCAGGTGAATGTCCCGAGAGCGGCCGGCCGAAGAGCAGGATCTCCCCGCTTCGCACCGGCTCCAACCCTAGGAGAGCCTCACCCAGCACTCGCTGACCATTTCCCGCGACGCCGGCTACGCCGAGGATCTCGCCCTGGCACACGTGGAAGCTGACGCTGTCGAGCCTTCGACCGCCTGCATCACCGACTGTAGTTATGCCGCGGAATTCCAGGGCGGTTTCCCCAACTGCGCCGGAGCGAACGTTGACGTGGTGCTGTCCACTCGAGCCCGAACCGACCATGGCCGCGACCAGACTGGCGGCGTCAAACTCGTCCCTGGGAGCGTTGACCTCCACCTTGCCATGGCGCAGGACGGTGACGTTGTCGGCGACGGCCAGGGCCTCGCGGACCTTGTGGGTGATGAACAGTATGGAGTAGCCGTTTTCCCGGAGGGCTGAGAATACCCGGAACAACCCGTCGACCTCGTGGGGGGCAAGGACGCTGGTGGGCTCGTCGAATATCAGGAGCCGGGCCTCCGCGAGGAGCAGCTTGATCAGCTCCACCCGCTGGCGCTCACCCAGGGACAGGTCGTCGACTCGCCGACGAGGGTCGATTTCGAGGCCGTAGTCTTCAGCAAACTGCTCAATGCGTCGAACCAGCTCTCCGCGGCGGATGAGCCGTCCCTGGCCCGGTAAGAACAGCGCAACGTTCTCCGCAACAGAAAGCGCCGGGATCAGGGAGAAATCCTGGAAAACCATGCCGACACCCAGGTGCCGCCCGGCGGCCGGAGAGCCCAGGCGCACAGGACGACCATTGATGGATATCGTGCCCGAGTCGGGGGCGTGGTAGCCGTAGATGACCTTCATCAGCGTGCTTTTGCCGGAGCCGTTCTCGCCAAGCACAGCGTGAATCTCGCCCCGGCGCACCGACAGGTCGATGCTGTCGTTGGCAACGACACCGGGGAAGGACTTGGTGATGCCCCACAGTTCGAGTAGCGGCGGGACACCGTCCGCTGTGTCTGTAGGCTGGCTCATTGAGACCATCTTGTTCCAGCTATTCCTGCGGGGGCGGGGCAGGGACAATCGATAGGGGCGCACAGGTGTGCGCCCCTATCTTGGCTACTACCAAGGTGTGTTGCGGCTACCCGGCGGCGATTTGCCCGCACTTCGAGGGCCTTGCTGGGCAACGGATAGCTGGTCCAGGTGGCGCCTTCGTCGGTGGTGCGGAACACCTGGCCGTCGCGGGCGGCGCAGGCGATGTTCTCGGGCGCCTGCGGGTCCACGGAGACGGACATCATGGTGGAGTTGGCGGTTACCCCTTTGTCGACCCGCTCGAAGGTCTTGAACAGGTCGCGGCTGCGATAGAGCGCGCCGGTGTTGCTGCGGGCGGCGGCGCCGATGGAGACGTAGAGCATGTTCGGGTCATGAGGGGCGGCCTTCAGGTCGCGAGTGTAGGTAACCTCGGAGAAATGGCCGAAGTCCACGGGGACCCACTCAGAGCCGCGGTCGGGGCCGATGAACGGGCCCTGACGGGTGGTGATGAACACCACGTGAGGCAGCGCGGCGGCGCACTGGATGCCGTGCAGGTCCAGGGTGTCCTCGCTTGGGGCGAGGGTACCCGTGATCTCCTCCCAGGTGTCGCCGCCGTCGGAGCTGCGAATCACGCCGGCGACTTCCAGAGCAGCGTACATCTCGTCGGGGAAGTTGGGATCAGCGGTCAGCGCGATGACGCGGGTGGGGAAGGACATGGAGACTTCGTTAGAGCCCATGGTGACGGTGTTCAGGCGCTTCCACGATTGGCCGCTGTCGGTGCTTCGGAAGATCTCGCCGGGGGCGGTGCGAGGTACATCACCGTTGGGTCGCCCGGGCGGAACAGGAAGCTCCACACCGGCGGGGCCACCCTGGGGTAGTCCATCCTCTCCCAGCTGTCCCCCCGGTTGAGGCTGCGATAGGGGCCGTTCTGGGTTCCGGCGAAGACCACCTCAGGGTTATCCGGGTGTATCGCAATTCCGCAAATGGACGGCGCCTCGGGGAGGCCGTTGGTCAGCTCTTCCCACTGTTCGGACCCCGGCGCCAGCCTGTACAAGCCGCTGGTCTCTGCTCCGGCGTAAATGTGTGTCATAGTCCATCACTCCCGCTGTGCGATTCGGGTGGGTTCTTTCTGGGTCAAGGGATACAGGTCAAACGAAAAACGGGTCAACCTGGAAAATGGTCAGTCGGAAACAACCTCTTCTAGCTCGAACCGGTAGTCCTCGATGACCGGATTGGAGAGAAGCTCCCGGCACATACGGTTCACCGATTCCTCGACTGACTGTTTGCCTTTGCCGTTGACCCGCAACTCCAGGTACTTGCCGATGCGGGCGTCCTGCGCGTCCCCGTGTCCCATACGCTTCAGGGCAGCCAGAACCGTCTGGCCCGCCGGGTCGCTGACGGCCGGCTTGAGAGTCACGAAGATTTTCGCGAGATAGGTCATTCCGGTTTAGCCGGTCCCCGGCATGCTGTTCTGGGAGCCGCGGCAGGAGACGGCGCCCTCCGGTCCAAGGCGGCCGACGTAGTGCTCGTAGAAACGATTGATGCGTTCTCCGTTGACACCTTGCATGACGTCCAGCACACCCCACGCGGAAAGCCCCACCTGTCCTGGCGCGAGATCGCCGGAGGGGCGTACCACCGTGAAGTGGTTTCTCCAGCCGTCCTCAAGGCCGTAGTACACCTCCTTGAGTGCGTCGACGTCGGTTTGGGCGGGAAGGTTGTAACTGACGACTATGTTGGAGTGTTCCAGATTGTGGACGATTGCTTCGTCGGCCACCGGATCGGTGAAGAACCCGCAGCGATTGGGAGTGCTCCAGTGATCACCGGAAGTGGGAGGCACAGTGTTGTAGGTAACAACGTCGTCACTGTCATCCCTGTTCAGGTCTACGTGATCCTTGGTGCGCATGACCTCCTGCTTCACTCCAACTCCATCGGCGTAAGCCGAGGCGGTGCCGTAGGTTATCTGGTCCGGCCCGCTGATGCTGTCGAGGATACTGGGTATTGAGAACCCGGCAATGACGAGGACAGCGATTATTATGGATGCAATAAGCAGCAGCTTGTTGGTGCCGCCCCGACTGGTGGTACGGGGAATATCAAGGTTGCGGGGCCGACGGTTTCGGCGATGTCTCGACTCGGGCAAAAGGGGTTTCTCCGTGCCTATCTTGGCGGATGGATCCGAGGGCGGCTACAGGTTCTGCCCTGTCAGCCTCACGTACGCCTCGCGATAGCGTTCGGTTGTGAGTGCCGTAACATTTTCCGGAAGCTCAGGAGCGGGCGGCTCGTGATCCCAGCCTTGGGCGTCGAGCCAGTCGCGCACGAACTGCTTGTCGAAGTTGGGCTGGGAGCGGCCTGGGTTGTAGCCCTCAGCGTCCCAGAACCGGCTCGAATCAGGCGTGAGCAGCTCGTCGATCAGGATCAATTCGCCGTCCAGGACGCCGAACTCCATCTTGGTGTCGGCAAGGATGATCCCCTGCTCGCGGGCAAAGTCGTCAGCGAAGCCGAACACCGCCTTGCTGGTCTCTTCCAGCCTGACGGCCATTTCGGCACCGACCATGTCGTTCACCTGTTGATGCGTCATGTTCTCGTCGTGGCCCTCTTCGGCCTTGGTCGTGGGCGTGAACAGCAACTCGGGGAACCGCTGACCCTCGACGAGGCCGGTCGGCATCTCCATTCCCTGCACCGTGCCACTGCGGCGGTATTCGGACCAAGCGGACCCGGTGATGTAGCCGCGAACGATGCACTCGATGTCGATGCGCTCGGCACGCTTGACAACCATGGCCTGCTGCGCCACCTCGGGCGGGATTGGGCTCGACAGGCCAGAGCCGTTGCCGCCGGACAGATAGCTGGCGGCTTCAGCGGAGTCGGCCAGGCAAATCAAGTGGTTGGGGACGATGTGGGCCGTCTTGTCGAACCAGAAGGAAGAGATGCGGTTCAGCACCAGCCCCTTGTCGGGTATTCCGGTGGGCAACACAACGTCGAATGCCGAGATGCGGTCCGTGGCCACCATGAGCAGGCGGCCTCCCCCGAGGTCGTAGGTGTCGCGGACTTTACCACGGTGCATTCGTCCGGGAATGGGAGTCTCGATGATCATTCGTGTCCTCTAACAGGAGTGAGAATGGATGAGTGATATCAGCCAAAGGTCTCGCGGTGATCAGTCGGCCGTCGCTGGCTCCGGAACCAGATTACCGGCAGGAACAGGGGGCAGCAGCCCAAGCCGGCGGAAGGTATCGTCTACGTATCGGGTGTAGTACCCATAGTCGAATAGCTCTTCCAACTCTTCCCGCGACAAATACGCTGCGACCGTGCTGTCGGATTTCAGGAGGTCCCGAAAATCGCGGCCTTCCTCCCAGCAACGGGAGGCATTGCCCTGCACAATCTTGTAGGCATCCTCACGAGACAGGCCCTTGTCCACCAACTCCAGCAGCGTTCGCTGGCTGAAAATCAGTCCCATGCTGCTTTCGATGTTGGCGTACATCCGGTCGGGGAACACCCGAAGGCCCTCAACGATGCGGGTGAATATGCTTAGGATGTAGTCGAGGGCGAGGCAGGAGTCGGGCAGGATGATGCGCTCCGCAGACGAATGGCTGATGTCGCGCTCTCCCCACAGGGCAACGTTTTCGAGGGCAGTAACGGAGTTGCCGCGGATGAGCCGGGCCAGCCCGCAGATGCGCTCGGCAAGCTCCGGATTGCGCTTGTGCGGCATGGAGGAAGAACCAGTCTGGCCGTGTCCGAAGGGCTCTTCAACCTCATGAATCTCGGTGCGCTGCAGACCCCGAATCTCCGTGGCGAACTTCTCCAGCGAGGCAGCAACGAGGGCCAACGTGGTGACGAAGTGGGCGTAGCGGTCGCGCTGGATGACCTGATTGGAGATACCCGCTACCTTGAGGCCCAGGCGCTGGCAGACGCGCTCTTCGACTGCAGGAGGCACGGTGGCGTGGGTGCCGACGGCGCCCGAGATCTTGCCGACCCGGACCGTCTCCACCGCGGCCTCAAGTCGTTCCCGCTGGCGGTTCATCTCGTCCCACCACAAGGCCAGCTTGAGACCCATGGTCATGGGCTCGGCGTGCACCCCGTGGGTGCGGCCCATCATCAGCGTGTCCTTGTGGAGCAGTGCCTGCTCAGCCAGCGCGGCGATGGCCTTGTCCACTTCCTCCATCAGCAGGCCGCCAGCCTCCACCAATTGCAGGTCAAGACCGGTGTCCAGCATATCGCTGGAAGTGAGGCCCAAGTGCAGCCAGCGTCCCTCGGGCCCGAGAGTGCCGGTGATGGAGGAGATGAAGGCGGTCACATCGTGACGAGTGGTCTGGAAGATCTCGTCCATCCGCTGAGGGTCGTACTCTGCGGCGCGAAGGCGGGCCATGTCCTCAGCGGGGATCACGCCCTCCTCGCACCATGCCTCACAAACGGCCAACTCGACGGCCAGCCATTTTTCATACTTGTAGTCGTCGGACCAGACCCGCTTCATGGCGGGACGGGAATATCGATCAATCACAGCTTTGGCCCCGTGCGATGAAGTGGTGGCGTCAGCGAGGCGCCGAACCGTTGAGGTGCAATTCCCGCACACTCAGCAACATCGGCAGGAAGTCGCTGAATGGCTTGTATTCGATGCCCTGCTCATCACAGAACCGGGCAAGGGTACGGTGGGCAAAAACCATATCCGCCTGAACCGACGCCTCCTGATCAGAAGCTCCGTCGCCGGCGAACAGCACGTAGTATCCCTGCTTTTGGAACTGCTCGACAATCAGCGCCTTCGAGTTGCCCTGCTTTTCGTCGCCAGGACGGACGTGGTTGTAGTGGTAAGAGATCTGACCTTGATTGAAGCTCGTGTTGACGGCATAGATGGGAACATCCCCGAAACCATCCCGCTCCAGCAGGGCTGAAATGTAGAAATCCAGACCCTGGCTGACCACCGCCAGTGGAATTCCGCTATTCCGGCAGAATGCGTGCAACTCGGCAAAATATGGCCGAAGGCTCGCGCGCTCCCGGACGTGATGCTGCATCACAGAACGGCCCAGCCTGGATGTTCCTGAAAGTGATCTCCTGGTATTCCTTCAGGTTCAACTGGCCATCGCGAAACTGCTGCCTCACCTGGGTCCAGGTGGGGTCTCCGAAACGGTTGAGGAGCAGTTCAGCCACGTTCTGCACTGCGGCAGTGTCGTCGAAATCGGTAAGAATTGCCGGGGAGAGTTTACCGTTCGCGGAGTTCGCGCCGGTAGTCGTCATATGCTTGCCTGATTTCAGGGTGCTGCAGACCCAGGATTTGGGCGGCGAAAAAGGCGGCGTTGCGGGCACCCCAGGCACCCACGGCCATGGCCGCCACCGGGATGCCAGGAGGCATTTGCGCCGTGGACAGCAAGGCATCGATGCCTTTCAGTTCACTTGAGGCCAACGGAATGCCGATAACCGGCAGTGTGGACCAGGCCGCGAGTGCGCCACCAAGCGCTGCCGAACCGCCTGCAGCGGCGATGAGCACCTGTATGCCGCGATCCCGCGCCTGCTGCGCATATTCGGCCACTCGTTCCGGTGTGCGGTGAGCGGACATCACCCGAACTTCGTAATCTATACCCAATTGCTCCAGCGTCTTGACGGCCTCGCTCACCACCGGCTCGTCAGACGCACTTCCCATCACCACTCCTACCAGCGGCACGATAGCCTCCGGCTGCAACCCTCGGTCATGGCTGAATCTCCTCCCGGTTCACGTCTCTTGGGGTCTTATGGGTCTCTTTAGGCCTTCCAGGAACGATGGAGCGGCCCAAACGCCGCAGTCCATAATATCACCTGTCGGATGATACGGGGATACCTTTCTGCAGCATCGCGGAAAGCCGAACGCTAAACTTCCAGTTGCTCTCGGAAAGCATTCAGCAATGCCCGCTCCAGGGCGTCGCGGTCCTGCCGGATCTGCACGCCGTTTACCATCAGGGAGAGGCCCTCGTCGAGCATGACCAGCTCCACTACCACCTCCAGGTCCTCGCCTTCGTCCCAGGAAAGGGCCGTGGTGATGACGTCGGCCATGTCGTCCTCGCCTTCGAACAGGTCCTCGTTGTCCTGCGACTCCCATTCGACGGTGGTCTCCACTTCCCCCTTTCCGTCGAGAAGCACATCGTTCATCTCGGTGATGAGAACGGAAATCTGCAGGGATTCCTGCCTGGACTGCAGCTCCTCCCGCTCGGCTGCGACCTGCCGGTCGAGGGCTTCGAGACGCTCGAGGCGAGAGACGCGAGCCGCCGTCAGTTCTTTCTTTAGTTGCAAGAGCGATTCACGCCAGGGCATCTTTCATCTCCGAGCTTAACGATTCTGCGGAACTGCGCGATCTGCCGCGGGGCCTTGTCGACAGATAGGCGAGAACATCGACTTCGATGAAATTCCGGATTCCAAGCCGGGCGCGCACCCAAGCCAGGGCCTCCATCAGGTCGAGGTAACGGATGCCTATGGGCCCGCGATTCATGGTGTCGGGGTATGCGCCGATGCGCTTCAGCATGCGCTCTGCGTTGGAGTTCCAGACGCCGAGTAGGGCTGGATTACGCAGACAGAGTAGCCAGGAAACGAACTCCTTGCCCGCCCCTGGCAGCATGTATCCACCTTCAGGTGAGGCGCATTCGTCGAAGCGTCCTTCGAGCTTGATAGTATCATATAAAAGGAAATCGAGGCTGTCCCTCAGTTCATCGATGGCTGTGACGGAAAAGGCGATCGGCTCCCGCCCGCCGGAGGCCCGGTAGAGCCTCAGGGCGTTGTCGGCTGACAGGGACTCGGGAGCATCCTGCTCCAGCCAGCCTGCGAACTCGGCAGCCCGGCCCCAACGTCGCTTGCGATAAGCGGAGTCGGCTCCGGATGCAATGGCGGCGTCATACAGGGTGTGCAGCTCGTTCAGGCCGCTGGGGCCGGATTGGGAAGACGTCCGCTGGCTCACGCGTTCACCCTGGCACCCACGGCCGCAATGTCCGTGCGCCGGTGCGCGCCATGGAACGTGATGCCGGCCAACCGGGAGTAGGCACGCTCCCTCGCCTCAGGAAGCGAGTTGCCCTCCCCGACCACCGTCAGCACGCGACCTCCTGAAGTTACCGGTCCGCCGCCCGGCCCCTCAGCCACACCCGCACAGAACACCAGGGTGTCCCTGGCATCGAATTCGTCCAGCCCCTCGATGGCCTTGCCAGTTGCGAACCTGTCGGGGTAACCACCGGACGCCATGACCACGCCGACACAGCGCCGGTCGTCCCAGGCGACGGAATTCGGGTCCAGGCGCCCCTCGGCGCAGGCGAGCATGGCGGGCAGCGGGTCGGAGGCCAGCCGGGGCATCAGCACCTGGGTTTCAGGGTCGCCGAAACGGCAGTTGAACTCCAGGATCTTCGGCCCGTCGACGGTCAGCATCAGTCCGGCGTACAGCACCCCTCGGTAGGGCGTGCCGCGACTGGCCATTGCCTCAATTACCGGGCGCATGATGGTGCGTTCGACCTCCCCGGACAATTCCGGCGTCCAGAACTCGGGAGGAGAGTAGCTTCCCATCCCGCCGGTGTTGGGGCCCAGGTCGCCATCCTCGAGCCGCTTGTAGTCGCAGGCGGCAACGAGAGGCGACAGGCGTTCCCCGTCGCAAAACGCAAAGACGCTGACCTCGCGGCCCTCCAGCCTCTCTTCCAGCAGCACGGTGGCCCCGGCGTCGCCGAAGGCGCGGGCCGACATGCTGGCGCGTACAGCGTCGGCCGCCTGTGCCTCATCATCGCAGACCACCACGCCCTTGCCCGCAGCCAGACCGTCGGCCTTCACCACGCGAGGGCCGGGGTTGAGGCGCAGGTACTCCAGGGCCTCGGACTCGTCAGTGAACACGGCGAACTCGGGGCCGGGTGCGTTGGCCTCGCGTATTATCTGGCGGGCGAAGCTCTTGCTGGATTCGAGCTGTGCTGCAGCGCGTGTGGGCCCAAAGGCCGGGATGCCGAATTCGGAGAGGGCATCGACGAGTCCGTCCGCCAGCGGCGCCTCCGGGCCAACGACGACGAGGTCGGCACGGACATCTCGGGCGGCTTGTACCAGGGTATCAACGCTGCTGCCAACGCCGAGGTTGGCGGCAATTCTTGCAGTTCCGTAGTTTCCTGGCGCCACCCACAGCTTGGTCAGCGATGGACTGCGGGCGATGCGCCATGCCAACGCGTGTTCGCGGGCGCCGCCTCCCACGAGAAGTATTCTCACCGGTTAATACTCACTGTGACGCCTGCGAAGGGACGGGAGCCTCCCGGTGTCGCCACTGCGTCTACTCCCATTCGATGGTACCGGGAGGTTTGCTGGTGATGTCGTAGACCACGCGGTTGACCCCGGGAACCTCGTTAACAATTCGGCTGGAGATGCGGGCCAGAACCTCGTAAGGTAGGCGCACCCAGTCGGCGGTCATGGCGTCCTCGCTGGTAACGCATCGAATGGCGCAGACGTAGCCGTAGGTGCGGTAGTCGCCCTGCACACCGACGGTGCGGCTGTCGCTGAGCACGGCGAAGCTCTGCCAGACGCGGTCATACAGGTCGGCTCCCTTGATCTCGTCTATGACGATCCAGTCGCAGGCCCGCAGCATTTCCAGCTTTTCCAGGGTGACCTCACCGATGACGCGTATGGCGAGGCCCGGCCCCGGGAAGGGCTGGCGGTAGACCATGTCGGGCGGCAGACCGAGTTCGAGACCAACGTCGCGGACCTCGTCCTTGAACAGGTAGCGCAGCGGCTCCACAAGCTGGAGCTTCATGTTTTCCGGCAGCCCGCCCACGTTGTGGTGAGTCTTTATGCGAGCGGAGAGGGCCGACCCGGCCGGCGCGTTGGCCGGCGCCTCGCTCTCGATCACGTCGGGATAGAGGGTGCCTTGGGCGAGGAACTCAACCTCACCAAGGCCGGTTGCCGCTTCCTCAAATACGCGGATGAATTCTTCGCCTATGACCTTTCGCTTGGTCTCGGGATCGGTTACTCCCGCCAGCCGGGTAACGAAGCGCTCAGAGGCGTCGACGTAGGACAGGTTGAGTCCCATCCCGCGTCGGAAGGTGGCCTGGACGCGCTCGGCTTCCTCCAGTCGCAGCAGGCCGTTGTTGACGAAGATGCAGGTGAGCTGGTCGCCGATGGCCCGGTGGAGCAGGGCCGCGGTAACTGCGGAGTCAACGCCGCCGGAGAGTGCGCAGATGACGCTGCCGTCGCCGACCTGCTCACGGATCCGGGCGATGGCGTCGGAGGCCACGTTGCCGGGAGTCCAGGAACCCTCACAGCCGCAGATGCGGAACAGGAAGTTCTCCAGGATCTCGGTACCGAGGGGCGTGTGGTTGACCTCGGGATGGAACTGCAGCCCAAACATGTCCCGCCCGTTGCCGATGGCTGCAACCGGCGAGTTTTCGGTGAAGGCCAAGCTGGAGAAACCGGCAGGCAGCATCTCTACCCGGTCTCCGTGGCTCATCCAGACCTGGAACGACGGCGGCAGTTCGTGGAACAGCGGTGGTCTCCCACCCGGCAGGCCCCAGCCCGCCGAAGGGCTGTCCTGGTGCAGGGTCGCGTGGCCGAACTCCTGCTTGGTGCCCCGCGTCACCGTGCCTCCCAGCTGGTGCACCAGCGCCTGCATCCCGTAGCAGATGCCCAGGACAGGCAGTTTTCCGCTCGAAGACCCAATCGGGGATCAGGGGCGCGCCATCCTCGTAAACGCTGGCCGGACCGCCGGACAGGATGATGCCCCTGGGGTTGAATCGCTCCACCTTTTCCCAAGTGTCCGACGGGTTGGCGATTTCCGAGTAGACCTTCAGTTCCCGGACGCGGCGGGCGATGAGATGGCTGTACTGGGAGCCGAAGTCGATGACGGCGATGCCTTCGTTGACCTGCCTGCTGGAGCCGGGCGCCTCCGCCTCAATCCCCTGGGCAATCTCGAGGTACGCGGAAACCTCCAGGTCATCGCTGGCGGCAACCCTTCGTCCCAACGGCAGCTTGGATGTAGTCGTAGCGGGCCTCCTTCGGCGGGAAGAGTTCACCGTGGGAACACAGGCTCCGCAAACATTCTACACCGCACCAACCAGCCTGTAAGCAGGGGGCTATTATACCCGGAATCGGGGCGCGCCTACCATATGTTGTGGGCGTTGGGCCCGAAAACACTACTCAACCTAACCGATGATTGGATTTTCCAGCGATTGACACCGCCGGGCGCCGTGGCTACATTGCCTCATCATCGGGGGATACGTATGAGATCGGCACTCCTCCTGGTTTTGGTGATTGCCATTCTGCTCACGGTCGCCTGCACCGGTGAGCAGGCAGAGCCGCCGACGGGTGTGCCTGCGACCGTCCCCTCCGACGCGACAGCAGTGGTGGAACCATCCTCGACCGCCACCGCGACGCTGGACCCCACGGCCTCAGTCCCAGCCGCCTCATCTACACCAACCCTTGAACCGAGTGCCGAACCGGCTCCGACGTCCACCCCAACACCAACCCCTACGTCAACGCCCGTGGCATCTCCCGCCACGACCTCCGAGCCAACGAAAACAGTTGCACCCACCCCGACCCCAACGGTAACTCCGACCACACCGCCTACGCCTACTCCCACGCCGACGGCGAGTCCCACGCCGGTCGCGACCATGCCTCCTACCCCGACTCCCAACCCCACAGCGACACAGGCGCCTACACCTACGCCAACGCTCGCGCCGCAACCCGCCACGGCAATCATCTCCACCACGGACCAGGGCGACAGGACCAGCATAGCCCGTTTTGTGTCCTACGAGGACAATGTGCTGTCCTTCGAGAGGGCCGGCGAAATCCTGACTGTGGAATATGCCATCGGTTGGCGCCGCTTTCCCATGGCCCAGGCGGTGGGCAACAACGTGCGCCGCATAAGCCCGGAGCAGCTACCCCGGGGAGGGTTCGTAAAGATCTACTCCACAGTCTCCGGCAGCGAGGAGGTCCTGCTTGGTCTGCTTGTCGAGGGAACCGTTATGGCCGCCTACACGCCCACGCCGGCGCCGACTCCCACACCAACCATCCCACCGCGCCCTCCCAGGCCGGCACCAACTCCGATCACTGTGCTGGCCTCGGTGGCGGGATATTCCCCGCTACTGGCCCAGGCCATGTCAAGCTTGCCGGCGGAGCATGACTTAGTGAGGGACGGAATCAGCTCCGAAGAGCGGCGGATACTGGACTGGGCCGACTCGCGGCTGTTTGGCAACTCAGCGTTCTTGGAGAGCGAATTCAGTCCGGACTCGTGGCCGTCCGACGTCAGAATCGCCATGGTGCAGTCCATCCCGCTCCTGATGCTGGAGATCGACATCCAAAAAAGAGCCGACAGGCAACACGTGGTCAGTTGGGGTGTGGACAGCCTGGACCGGGTGCTGGACGACCTGGGCATCTATCCGGGGATGTGCGTTTACTGCTACGGAAAGTCGGGGTACGAGAGCATCGATGATGAAATCGGCGACAACTATGTCCCGATAATTCGCAGTCAAGGTCACGTTCACAGGGAGATGCTGAAGACCTTCGCCTACCTGGCCAAGGCTGATGGACAGGGGATACTGGTCAGGAGCCTGCTGGAGAACGGTCCCGACGACTTCGAACTGCTCTACAAGCGCAGGCTGGACAACTATCCCGTCACCATCGGGGTTGGGTCCTTTGCCTACGAGAACGTGTCGTTCATGTCGCAGATACGGCTGCCGGAGGGGAGGCTGGTGTCGCTCCCGACCATGGCGTTCGGGATGGTGGGGGACGCCGGGACGGAGCGGGAGGCGGTGGAGCGGGTATTCGACCACGTGCGGAAGAACCTAATTCACGATACGGGAGACCATGACGATGCCGCAAACCTTTTCCGGCCGTACACGGTCACGCCCTACTCTCCCGAGCTGGGCTGGATTCTGTACGTGGGGGAGGCGGGCAGCCCGTCCTCCGCCGCCCTGCTGACCGGGGCGTTCCGGGCCGTAGGGCTCAAGGCAGAGCAGTTTCGGACGCCCCGGACGATAATAAACGCCGGCTCCGTCGAGGTGGACGGGGAGACGTACTACTACGACGGGAATGACCCATTTGGCAGGAACCTGAAGAAAGGGCCGATCTGCACGTACTTCCGGACCTTTGAGCAAGTAGAGAACCAGGAGTACGACCGAGAATGCGACAAGTGACGCAGGTCCTCGGTG